AAAAAATAGAAAAGAAAAAAAAACTGCAAATACAAACATAAAACTAAATTAAAAAACAAAAGATCTTCACATATGTGAGTGTGTTTGTTACAGTGTATACAAAGTACATGCACATGACAAAAAGACTAGACAGAACACACCAGAAGCATAAAAGGGGTATCTCAGGTTACTGGCTGGACCTATGACTTTTTTATTCCCCTTTGGTGTGTTTTTCTGGATCTTCAAATGAAGCCGAGTGTGGTGGCACACACCTGTAATCCCAGCTCTCATGAGGCTGAGGCAGGAGGATCGCTATGAGCTCAAGGCCAGCCTGGGCTACAAAGCAAGTTCAAGGCCAGCCTGAAGTACATAGCGAGACCCTGTCTCAGAAAGACAAAAGAACTGGACCCACTGCGAAGGTGGAAGAGAGGGGGCAGGATCTGGTTTTGAGGTGAGCCCAATGCACAGGGCTTGAGAGGTGGGGGGGTCCAGGGCAGTGGTGGCAAACCTATGGCACACATGCCGCAGTGGACTCCCAGAGCCGGCCAAGTCCCACAGCTCCGCCCCGGCCTCGAGCATGAGATACTCAGGGTGAACTGCGGTGCTGACACTCTGGGATAAAAAGCGGCTTTTCAGTTTCAGTTTGGGCACTCAGTCTCTAAAAGGTCCACGTCGCTGGTCTAGGGTGTCCCCACTGAGGGGGTCGTGACCCCACAAGGCCCTGGGGTGACGACACAACAGGAGCGCTCTCAGCCTCAGCCAGGGCAGGGACCGGAACCCCCGACTGCGAGGCACCACCGTGCTCTCTGGTTTTCAGACAAGCCGTTAATATTTAAAAACCAAGAGAAAGCTCTCTTGGAAATGAAAGAGAAAATAATGACTCAGAACAACGTGTACCTTGTTACCTTTTTTCCAAAAAGCAGAAAAAAAACCTAGATATGTTTTAATCACTGTGTTCATTGGTTCATAGAGGAACTGTAGGCAAAAGCAAAAACACAAGTGACAGCACTGAGGGCCAGGGTGAGAGGTGTTTCACTGGATATGCTCTTGTTTCTTGACTCGTGTGAACACTGTAACTTTTTCATTTGGTGGTGGCGGCGGTGGTAGTGATGCCGGGATTGAACCCAGGGCCTCGAAATGCCAGGCAAGCGCTCTACCACTGAGCTTCGTCCCAGCAAGGTACTTTGCAAATAACTACACTTTCTGTCTTTTTGAGACAGGGTCTCACTGTGCAGTTCAAGCCGGCCTTGAACTTCACTTTGTGGCCCAGGCTGGCTTTGAACTTGCAGCAATCCTCCTGCCTCAGCCTCCCAAGTGCTGGGATCACAGGCATGCAGCACCACACCCTGCACAACTACACTTTTAAAAGCCAACCAATAAAAGGCAATGTGAGGGGCTGGGGATTTAGCTCAGCGGCAAAAGCGCCTGCCTGGCAAGCGCAAGGTCGTGAGTTCGGTTCCCGGTACCGGAGAAAAACCAAAAAAAAAAAAAAAAAAAAAGGCAATGTGATACATGACATTTTATACATGCTGTAGATTAACTTTCTAAAAATAAAGTGATTTGAGACTTCCTTTACATCAGAAGGTAGTGAATAGTTGGGGAACTAATCAAGTTAGGGTGTCTCATGTAAAACAAGTTTCTCATGCTGGTGTCTGCCATCGCCTGGCGAGGTTTGCCCCAGTCAGAAGTGAGCAGCACCTGTCCGTCCTCTGGGAAAGCCACGAGCCCGGGACCCTCCCGAGGCCTCGCCACCAGCCCGGCTCCACCCGCAGCTGGGTGTGCGCATGCGCGCTGACGCTCCCTGACCACCACATTCTGCGCCCAGCGACGCGGGTGTCAGCAGTGCCATTGGGCAGACGAGTCTGTCACTCGAGAGAAGGAAGCTTGGGCAAAGTCCTCTCACGTTCCCAGCATCATTTCCGGGGAAGAAAAAGAAACTGCACTGCACTCCAAAAGCAGCTTCGTTGCTTATGCGAAAGAAACAGTCTGTGGCTGCTTCTCAGCGCTGTGTTTCTGAGGACACGGCAGACACGGTACACGGCCACCGCCTGCAGCCCCTCTTTCCCCGGGCCCCTCTCCGTCATAAGAACCTCTGCACCAGATCCTTTTCACCTCTCACCTGCTACCAAAACAAGTTTGGTTTTGTTTCTTTAAGGAGGGCTTAGCTGGGCATCCGGGCACACCCCTGTAATCATCGCATTCAGGAGGCCGAGGCAGGAGAATCACTATGAGTTTGAGGCCAGCCTGCACTACATAGTCAGTTCAAGGCCAGCCTGAACTATAAAGCAAGACTCTGTCTCAAAAATAAAAATAGATAGATAGATAGATAGAAAGATAGACAGATAGATAGATAGATAGATAAAGGCACTAAATCAAATCCAGTGGCCCCTCACTGCTGGCGTAAGGGCGCTGTCTAACTTAGGAGGCCACCACCCAGTTCTAGGTGCTTGGGGAACAGAAGCGAAACACTTCCTGCCTTTAGCCTCTGAAGCTCTGAACAAACAAGCCACCAATGCCGTCCTACTCACCAGGGGGACCCAGTAGGTATAGAGGGCGCCAAGCCGCATCTCTGGGACGAACTGGGAGCAGGCGAGAAGCAGGAAGTAGAGGTTGAAGAAGTACTTGAACTGGTTGAACAGCACCTGCAATGCACAAGCAGAGAGGAGCTCCTGCGGGCTTACCTGACGCACAAGCCTGAGAAGGCTTGGCGGAAGCAACATTAAAAACAGTTCCACGTAAGAATACAGCATATAAGCTGGGCCTGGTGGCGCACATCTATAATCCCAGCACTCAGGGGGCTGAGGCAGGAGGATCCTGTGAGGTCAAGGCCAGCCTGGGCCACTTCCCGGGTTCAAGATCTGCCTGAACTACATGGCGAGACCTTGTCTCAAAAAACAAAAAAAGAGAACAACTTCTACACTATTTTTCACACAAAGCTTAAATAGTTCCTTTGCTTTCTTTCTTCCTTCCTCCCCTCCCTCCCACCCTGGCCCATACTGAAGATTGAACCCAGGACTTTGCACTGAGCTACACATCTGCAATCTCTTATAATTCTTTTTTATTTTGAGACAGGGTCTTACTAGGTTGCTAACTGCTCAAGGATTCTCCTGCCTCAGCCTCTCAGAGTGCTGGGGTAACGGGCTTGCGCCACCACACCCAGCCTGTTCCACGTGTTACCTAGGGAAACATAGTATGCAATAAACATATCATTTTCAAAACTAAGTGACATATACATGACAACTGTAAACTCCAAATTGAGAAGTTTTTAGTGGGCAGGGGGCGGGACTAGTAACCAGCTGGGAAGGAGCAGACAGGGAACGGCAACTGCATCTGCTCGGTTTTTATTTCTGAAACAATACATTTTCTAAGGCCAGGGAGGCAGCGTGAAACGTTGTTTAGGGAGCAGTTTTAGTGGGAAGCGCTCGTGCGGTAATGTTGAGTCAAAACAGCAAGACAAAAAGTTATATCCACAACGTGATTTCGACACCATAAAACAATACCTACAGCAGCCATGGGGAACCTTTTAGAGCTTTCAAGGACACAAACAGCCTGCTGCGGCACACATGCCACAGGTTCGCCACCACCGCCCTGGGGCCCGCCGTGGCTGGAAGCTGGGTCCACCCGGGCCTGAGACCGAGAGCACGTGGCCAGCTTCGGCCAAGGAGCAGAGAGAGGAAGCGTCCTGGGTCTTCAAGGCCACGGCAACTGCGAGTCACTCTGCCCCCTGCCCCATCGTGAGACTTTCCTGGCCACACGCTCCCTGGGTGCCCAGCCAGCGGGGCCCCACTGCTGCCGCTGCCCAGGAAAACTGGCAAGGCGAGGAGGCGGAGGAGGGGCCCGGCGCACTGCACACACTGCCGAAGGGAGAAGACTTTTCTTGACCTCACATACAAGGATTGAGGTCCGGCTGTGGTCTGCGGTAACTAACAGTGACTTCGGTCACACTTTGCCCCAAACACGTTCAAATGGACTTTGCGCTTCGCTAAAATGTATCTGTGGTGCTGCCTGGCCGCCCGGCATCCAGCACCGCCATGCCTTCCCTCTCACACTGGAGCTGACCACTGCTGCTCCTCCACGGTTAATTCGGGAGTGTGAAAGCTGCGCTGGACAAACAGAGGTGGTGCATGCGTGAGTGTGTGTGTGTGTGTGTGTGTGTGTGTGTGTGTACATGCACGTGTCTCAGAGGAAAGTCTGCTGAGTATGTGTCTAAAGACTTACATAACCTGATGAGGGCATGTTAGGACTCCAGAAACATTGACCAGAAACATAAATAGAAACTCCCTTTTTGGGCTGGGCATGGTGGTATACGCCTGGAATCTCAGCACTCGGGAGGCTGAGGCAGGAGAATCTCGTGGAGTTCAAGACCAGCCTGGACTACACAGTGAGACCCTGTCTCAAAGAAAACAAATTCCCTCTTTGACCACAGAGTTGACTTTGACCTGTTTTCTACTCTATGTACTTCTGTGTCTCAGTTCTCCTATGTTGGGTGCAAGTTCCACAATGACAAGGGGGGACACGGAGGCACTGCTGTTATTCTTTTCCAATGCTTTGGTGACAGTGCTTGATCCCCAGAATACCTTTCTCAATCTTAGGCTCAATATGCCAAGTAAACGTGGGGTTATTCTCAGCAGCCAGGTGGGTATCACAGCCCTGCAGACAGCCTCCTCCAGACACTTAGGCCAGGGAGACAAACGCTCAGCGGCTAAGGTGGCGCAGAGGAGATAAAGCAGTGCTCACAAGGTCTGCCACAGGACCTTGGTCTACAAGACTGGCATTGCCCCATAAATCTGTGCTGGGAAGCAGAGTGCTCTAATTCCAGAAACTCAGAAGGCTGAGGCAGGAGGATTTCAAGCTTGAGGCCAGCCTGAGCAACTTAGCGAGGCTCTGTCTCAACATAAAATAAAAAAGGCTGGGGCTGTAGCTTGATGGTGGAGCGCTTGCCTAGTACGTATGAGGACTTGGCTTCCACCTCCAGGGCTGAAAAATAAAAGGAGATCAATTATGGAAGAAGGAAAACGTGGGGCTGGGGATTTAGCTCAGCGGCAAAAGCGCCTGCCTGGCAAGCGCAAGGTCGTGAGTTCGGTTCCCGGTACCGGAGAAAAAGCCAAAAGCCAAAAAAAAAGAAGGAAAACGTGCAGTCGCCATACATACCCCGGGAAGAAAGGTGAAGAAATTGTACTTCTGGTTGTTGATGACATTTCGAGGGTACCTCTGGTCCCTCTTTTCCGGGTGTCCCAACCAGACAGTGCGGGGTCTGGGCTCCCCTCCACCACAGCATCTCAGCCACTCGCAGCACCTGTGAAAGAGCGGCCACACCATCAAAAGACCATGCCCAGGCCCAGGCCACGCCCTCTGCTTCCAGATAGGTCCCGCTTCCGGCCACGCCCACCCCAGCCCAGGCCCGGCCCTGACATAAAGGCCACACCGGGCTCACCCGTTCTGCTCAGCCCGCCTTCTCCAGAGGCCCAGCTGGGTCAGGACCACCGCTGCCCCCAGGGAGGTGAAAAAACAGAGCAGGGGCTGCTAAGAAGCAGTGGTCCTAATATAAGGTGCTTTGCTCCCAAAAGTGGAATTCCTTTAAAAATAAAAGTCGAGCATGGTGGCGCAAGCCTGTAATGCCAGCACTCAGGAGGCTGAGGCAGGAGGATTGTTGGGAGTTTGAGGCCAGCTTGGGCTACACAGTGAGCTCAAGGCCAGCCTGGACTGCATAGCAAGACCCTGTCTCAAAAGATACATACATACATACATACATACATACATGTAGATGAGTCTCAGTAAGCACTCCGATTACTTTCTAAGCGTGACAGACGAGAGCAGAAGTGTAGAACCGAGCACCGGGGTCTGCTAAGGCGTGAGCAGCAGCCTGTGCCCTGGCGCAGATCTACTCCGTGCCGCGGCTGGTCACGGAGGAGCAGAGAGTGCCGTTCTCCCCTCCCACCGCGCACAGGCAGCGCAAGCCGGTGACACAATAGCTCTGGGCCAGCCGGACGGAACTGGAGCCGACCCGAAGCCCCACCTGGCCAACAGCACCAACCCACGGCACCCAGCTCGGGCTCCAGGTCCCCTCACACAAGATAAGTGAATGCCGGGGCATCCAGGCCCTCGGCAAAGCCAGGTGCCCTGGGAACCTCCGGGAAGGGCAGCCCAGCCTTCCGGAGCGCACACGGGCGCCAGAGAACCAAAGCCTCCTCGGTCCGCAGCAGTGACAATGCCCCGCGTGCTGGCCGAGGTGCCACACACTGAACCCAAAGCAACCAGTGAGAGCAACTCTGACTCACAGAACAGCACGGTGGGCCTCCTCCTCCCTCCCCGCTGCCCCGGGCACAGAGCTGAGCCAAGCACGGCCTCCCGCAGTAGCCCAGCGCTCAGCCAGCCGGTGAGCTGCCTGCCCGGACGCTCAAAATGTCCGCGATGAAACACAATGCCCTTTCCTAAAAATAGCATCCTCGGTCCGGTAAGCTGGGGCCGGGGTGGCCTGTGCTTGGATGAAGACAGGTGCCAGTTCCCGGCACTCCCTCCTGCTGGCCACTTTCTAAGTTGTTCAAAGGAGGAGGAAACACACAGAGGATTCAGGAGTCCAAGCCCTCTCCCCGTTCCGGCTCCTGGGTACCAAGCACCCATGCTGCCATCAGGGGACACCTGCTGAAGCCACGATAGGAGGAGAGGGAGGGAAGCTGGGCATAGTGATGCACGCCTGTAATCCCAGCACTCAGGAGGCTGAGGCAGGAGGATCACTGCAAGTTTGACGCCGGCCTGGGCTACAAAGTGAGCTCAAGGCCAGCCTGAACTGCATAGCGAGACCCTGTCTCAAAAAGACTAGAGAGAGGGAGAGAGGTAGAGAGGGAGGGAGTAAGGGAGGGGAGGGGAGGGGAAGACAGGGCATGTGACAGGCAGGAGACCCTGTGTAGAAACCTTCCTGTGACTACGACTGACCCCTCTGAGCACCAGCGACTCGCTCCTCCCCCGTAATGACCTTCAGAGATGACTGTAACAGTTGCATGCCTCTCATGAAAGATGAAAGAGAATTACGACAACCGTGTATCATCAGGGAGACTGCTCGGCCACGATTTTCTGGTATCGGGTTACACCGATTCATTATTAACCCGAGGCTGTGCGCATGGGCCAAAGGACCAAGGTGCTCATGGCAGCCAGTGCTGTGCTTGCAAAGGCCCGGAAATGAATTTCTGTCTCCCGCTGGTCGAGGGACACTGGCGACATAAACAGGGATCACCCATGCAGCGAAACGCTTGACGGCCTTTGCGGACCGCAGTGGAGTGATGTGGGCGAAATGGCTCGGTTTTCAAGCTGACCAGAAAAGCAAGGGACCAAAGATGCCACTCCCCACGGGAGCGAGAGGGCAAAGCTGGCACCCACACCGGAGGGCGCTGTGACCAGCCAGCACTGGCTCTCTGTAAGCAGAAGCAGGGAGACCTCCGCAGCTTGTCTCTAACGTCGTCTGCATTTTAACAGAGCGCTCTACTGTCCAAATTCATTTCAGGAGCATCCCAAGTGCCCGTTTGATACAAAGCACTACCCAGGTCCCGTGACCACTGAACAAAAACGTCCTTGCCTTCTCCTCCCTCAGAATCTGACTGCAAAACAGGGGTGGTTGACACACGATGAAATAAGGACTCTGAACCCAGGTGTGGTGGAACATATGTACAGTACCTACAAAACCAGTACCCTGGGGGGCTGAAGCAGGGGGATCCCATGTGTGAGCCGAGTCTGAGCAATTTACTGAGGTGAGGAGAGGTTTGGTTTTTGGGACAGGGTCTCGCTATATGGTGCAGGCTGGCCTTGTGAACTCACTATGTGCCCCACGCTGGCCTCGAACTCATGGCCATCCTCCTGTCTCAGCTTCCCAAGTGCTGGGATTACAGCCATGTGTCCCCATGCCCAGCAAGACCCTGTTTTAAATGTTTAAAAAGAGGCTGGGGATGGGGCCGTGGGTTCATTGTTCAGTACCACCAAAAAACCCAAACAAGCCAGGCGTGGTGGCGCATGCCTGTAATCCCAGCACTCAGGAGGCCGAGGCAGGAGGATCATTGCGAGTTCGAGGCCAGCCTGGGCTACAAAGTGAGCTCAAGGCCAGTCTGAACTACACAGCAAGACCTTGTCTCAAAAAGCAAAAAAAAATAAAATAAAAAAGAAAAACAAGAAAAGTAAAACGAAAGAGAGGACTCTGGGTTCCTGGACCCCACGTAACTAGCCCTAAAGTCCAACTCAATTGATTTTCATCACACTCCCTTTTCACTAAGGTGAGTATACTTGCACACTTTCAATACTGGACTAACTGAACTTTCAGGTGAATATGTTTACCGAACACTTAGTCATATCGACAGATGAAATCAGCACAGCTTCTTTTTGCTGTGCGCTCATCCACAGAGCAGCCCCTGGGCACTGAGTGTGGTTCCTCTGGGGAGCGCCCCAGGCACGTGAACAAGACAGACGGGCTCTTCCCCCCAGTCTGTGTCCACAGGAGCGAGAGACAGTAAGCGTCTGCCCAAAGGAAAACCAGGCCGAGGGAGGGCGGTGTGGGAAGGGCGTGGCTGCGGACGGGGCAGGGAGGCTGGCGCAGCCACAGGCCCTGCAGGGCGATGCGGACAGCAGACAGCGCTGCTGCCGGGGCGAAGTTCCTGAGGGGGTGGCAGCGGGCACACAGGGCGCAGCCAGGCAGCCTGGTCCCACGGAGGGAGGCAAGGAGGGTCGGTGGGAGGGTGCAGAGGCGGGCTTCCACAGGCGTCCTTACCAGGGCGGGAGTCTGGGGTGCTCTCCACACACCCGGGCTCACTGGAGTTCCCAGCAAGGAGGCCTGCAACCTGGTTTGCATTTGTAAACGTTCCCTGGGGCTGCTGGGCAGAGGCGACACTGCGGCGAGCAAGAACATGAGCAGGTAATGGGTCTGGGGTTTCCTTTGTGTCAGGTAATGAAATGCTTCTGATTTCGTTTTTGTGGCACAGGAGACTGAACCCAGGACTTTCATACTGAGCTACATGCCCGGCCCTCTTCCATTTTTTATTTTGATGGCTTTCAGTTTGTTTGTTTTTGCTATGCAGTCCAGGCTGGCCTCAAATTCATAGTGATCCTCCTGCCTCAGCCTCCCAGAGTGTCAGGATTATATGGGTGTATGCCACCCATATCTACCTAGCAGGTAATGAAATATTTTAACATTGATTGTAGTCATGGCTGCACAACCCTATGAACATACAAAACTGTATACTCTGAATAGGTGAAGTGGAGGATAGATGAATTATCTTAATAAAACAGCTAGATTAATAGCCAAAAAAAAAAAAAGAAGAAGAAGTAGAAACAGGTCAGGCATGGCGGCACATGCCTACAATCCCAGCTAATTAAGAGGCTGAGGCAGGAGGATCACATGTTTGAGGCCAGCATGGAGAACTTAGTGAGACCAAGTCTCAAAAAAGAAAATGTAGCTCAATACTAAAGGGGCTGTAGCTCAGTACTAAAGCCCCCAGATCCAATTTCCACACCCCATAAACAAATGAATAAACAAATGCTAGCCTTAGGGGAATCATTCCAAGGCTGCTGCCTTACCACCAAGCAAGTAAAGACATCCAGACTGGGGGTGGCAGAGGGGAGGGCTACAGATTTTCAACTGCTGCAGATGGAGAAATGCGTGATCTCTAGAAAATTACAAACAAGAAATACACTATGCCACTCGGTATGCACAACCACCCTGCAAGCTAGAGTCCAGAATCATCCCCATTTCCATGGTGGACAAACTGAGTCCCAGACTCTCATCCGCACCGACCTAAGCACTCCAGACCCGCACTGTCGCCTACGGCCTCAGCTGCAGTTCCTTGGGGCGCCATCTTTTTCCCCACTCTGTCCTACAAACTGGAAGACACTTGGGGAGCCACGGAGAGCAACTGTCAGCCCAGCCAGGAGCCCTTCTGTGTTGCGTGTCCGCTGGTGCCCTCCTGCCCACACCCATCCGTCCCTGTGCCAGCTGTCACCACGCTGTGCCCCACAGCTCCCCAGCCAGCCGTGCTGCCTGCTCGGGACCGTGGACTGACTTCCTCCACGCGTCTCCCTCCAGGGCCAGGCAGTGCTAAGTGCCCCTGCGGAGGGCGGGGGGCGGGGGGCGAGGCTCTCCCAGGCTCTCAGCGTTGGTGGCGCGGGTGGGAGCACATCCAGCACGCTCGCATCTGCCCCGGCTACCCACCCAGAAACACTGCGGCCTGGTGGTCTCCCCCCAGGCAAACCTGCCCCCCCTCGTCCGCCCCAGGACACGGTTCCCTGTCCCCACCGGCGCCCTTGTCCTCAGCCTTGCTGGTGGCGGCCCTGTGTCACCGTGGCCCTCCTAACAGGGACATGTGTCCTGCGAGCTCCAGCCTCCCGATCTCTCCAGGGACCTCGCCCCAGCCCCGCATGTCACGTGTCAACCACCTCTGCGCCTGGCGGCCCTCCTGCAGTCTATTTGTGTTACACTGACTCACTGCACTCGCGAACATTTGGAAAGAGAACTCACCCCACTCCCATAAATGCAAAGCAGCTCCCCTGCCTCGCTGAAGGGAAACAGGGGAACCAACACGGTGGGGAGCACCACCTTCCTCGGGTCCTCGGCCGGGGGGTGCTGTGGCCACAGCAGCCGGCTCCGCCCTCCCTTCCCTCTGCAGCGACATCCGCCGGCGCGCAGGGTTAAAAGTCGGGCTGACAGCCCTGGAAATACCGAAGGAAAAAGGAAAGAGTATCTCGCTAAAGGTCTCGATGTGATTTAATCCCTGTCCAGGAACTCCTTAAACTCCATCGCT